TTTACCATCTCATCCAGCTAGACTCTTTTATGAGACCGGAATGAGACCTAAGAGGAGTCATTAAAAATTTTATCTATACATATTTTAAATTGTATCTTATGAGATATTCATATAATGTAAAGACCACTTGACAATCACATGTTGCTATACATTTTTTTAGTAAATGCTAATACTGAAAATAATTTTTCTAACAAATTAATTATGTGAATACTGCACCAAAATTACTGTTTCTGTTTAAATGTAAAATATATTAATTATGGTAAAATAATTTCCCACATTATGTATATACATGAAAAACCATGAACCTCGGCCTACGTCTGCCTTGCAATAAGTCCAATTTTGACTTAATGTTTGGACGTAATAAATTTTGCTTGGTATACAACTTCTGTTCGGTATACGACATAACTTCCAAGCTGCACGAAACGAGTGCTATAGAAGTATATAAACAATATTCATTTTATAACATCTGTCACATTTTACCTGATTTTGATTTTTAAGTAAAATTTTATTACTTTTATTAATCATGGATTATGAAAAGGCAAATGAACAGAAATACAAAACTAGAAAAATAACTATACTCTGTTCACCGAGAGTGTGGGACCGTTTCGCGCAGCTTGGAAGGTGGTGGGGGTCGCAACGAACTCCCTCCACACGGTTCAGTATACACGGTAAAGCATTGAGATGCGCAGAACGAGCGAAAACTGAACTGTGCACAGTCCCGGACTCTCGGTGAACGGAGTATAGGATCACTATGGAATTTAAAAAGGAGATTGTTGAAAGATATGAAGGTGGCATATGTATCCACGACTGAGAACGACGATATCGACAGTCATAAAAAGTGAAAACATTATTAAATATGCTAACGTTGCCAAGGGAGTGGAATCAATTTCTAAACAATCCAAGAAGTCTAAGAGATTAGAATAAAATTTCTTTCTTTTTGTTATTTCAGTTTTAAGCAGAGTATAAATTGGAAAATTTATAATAAAATCTTATTTTTTGTTTATGTGTTTAAACATTGTTTAAATTATTTTATAACCCCATTAATGTAGATATGTATAATATCAATACGAGTTTCTTTTACATGAGAACGGATTAATCACATTTTTACATTACTTTTTATGGGAAAGTTTGGTTTGGTATATACTCTATTTGGTACAAGTCCATACATCAGAAACGGATTATTGTCGTACACCGAGGTTCTACTGTATTTGCAAAGTATGACGTGGTTCGAATGTATTGACTATTGTGAGAGGACTTCAACAATCACCACGAAGAGCAATCTCTCTTATAATGAATAATAGATAGAGAATTATAATGCACTTCCGATAGAGATTTTTCTTATTAATTAACTCCCTCAATATTGATGTTATAGTTCTGTACATTACATGCAATACTCACAGAATTCTGTAATAAATGCATGAAATCCGGAATTTAAAGTAGGAACAAACGTTGCATTGTTCTGCCTGTAGGATTTTTAGTGAAAAAGGGAGAAGATAATATTTCATAAAATGGTTTGGCCCGTTGCCGGGAATGTCTATCAAACAGAAAAAGGTGTATAGATGACGGGTAGGGACAGTTTCACCTTGACCAACCTCGAGCGTGTTTGATTTATGAATTATTCACGCTCGAGGAATTATTCGTGCAGAGTCATTCGCGTGAACCCTTCCAACTCCCACTTTTCTACCCGTATCGCGTGATACGTTATATGTATGTATGCATGCGCGTGTAGTATACGCCTCGCTTTCCCAATCCAACCCGTTTCATTCGTCTTTCTTCCGTGAACATGTACTCCTCAATGTTTCACGCGAAACGAATAAACGATAAGTGTTCCTTTGACACAAATAGAATTCTCTGTTTTCTTTGTTCGCCATCTCTCCGAACGAATGCAAATTGTTTGTGTGGCTGCGAGAAGCCGTGAGACGTCTTATTCGATACAATATAAATTGTGTATAGACGTTAGTTATTTGATGTCTGTACAAAACAGGATCAAAGACAGCATCATGCTTAAGGGGCTAGGGTAGGGTAGAGTTCTTTCTAACAATTGTCAGTAAAATTTTGACCTTTTTGCTGTTTTATCGATAACCAGGAAAAAATAGTGCATAACATGGGTTTACGGGATTACAGTTTTCATCCTTATATGAGAAGACTTTTGGGTCGTCAACTACCTTTGTGAAAAGGCAAAAGTTAAACGTGACGTGCTCTGATTCTGATTTAATTCAGTACAACCGCTTTTGAATGTAAAATTGCTTATAGAAAAGACCTGTGTTTCACCTATTTAAACCTAAATTTTTGGATAATTTTGTGAATAACATTACCAGTCTGCCTTATCGCGCCGCTATCGAAGTCTATCCCTTTAACATTTACTTATCAGGAGAAATATTAAAACAAAAGCCATATCCTCAACACTATCCATTGATTGCAAACGAGTTAACTTTTATTATCAGTAGTAGCAGGAGAAAGCAGAAAGAAAAATGTCACGTTTAACTTATTACACTTTTGGCTCTCACGTTATATGTATGGTATCGTAAAAGGGGAACGGTAGTCACGCTATTAAAAAGGAATCGCAATCGTAATATCATGCTCGTTAGACTAAATACTAAATGATTGAAGGTTCCGGTCACGCTTGGCCAGCGTTAATAGCCTCGCACTTATTGTTACTTACTTCCGCATTTGATAAAAATAACTACAGGTTTTAATCATGACTGAAATGTTCCCCATACATGTATTTATCTTATATAAATGTGTAGGGGAATTTCGGGATTCAAAGGAATCAAGGTTCTGGGAAAACACAAATAATAATTTATTCATTTTCACATTCTTATGACACATGGGAACGTTTACAAAATCATCATGATTTCGGATAAATATAGTTAGAGACGTCCGGAGGGTTCCTGTACTCTATTCTCGAGGCGACCGGCGGATACTCCAGCCGTTCTTTCCTACGNAGAATGACCCAGGTTGAACCTCCGTACTCTTCTCTAACGCTAACTACACCTGGAGGGCGACCGGTGGTTATTCCAACCGTTCTCTCCTCTCCATGAGGTATTTCTATATCTACTGGGCGACCGGTGGATAATCCGACCGTTCTCTCCCAAACGCTTAACCTATACATTCTCAGGCGTCCGGGTGACGTCCCCTGTACTCTATTCCTGGTTTGGCGTCCGGCGGAATTTCCAGCCGTACTCTCCTCCAAGGAACGACCCAGGGTAGTCCCCGTACTCTCCTGGCTGTATCGGGCGTCCGAGAGCTAGGCTTCGTACTCTCCCTCTCAGTTGGGCGACCGATGGCTTACCTCGTTCTCTCCCAACCGAGCACAGCAAAGAATGCGAGAATTCGCCGGTCCGGCCGCTCCTTATACATATAACTACGCGTTGCTAATGACGCTGTTAATAAACAATCCGTGTCGTTAGGCCGGCGGTCCCCGCGGTTTTCGACGGATTTTCGCTAACGGGTGTTCATTAGTTTTCGTGGTCGTTACAAATGTTTAAAATGTCTTGTTCAAATTTTCATTAGAAGCCCTGGTAAAAAGGTCGAAAAAGCGACCTTCACACTTTTCCTAACAATTACTAGCAATTTTAATCTTTTAGAAATTGTAGTTAGATGAACTTTAAGACTGATATTTTCTCCCAATCTACGTCGAGCATCAAATATATTATCCTTTTCTCTAAATGGATTACTCTTGACCGTCTACTTCAGCTATTACACAATTGTATTATACCACTCCCAGTTATTATCATTGTTTTTATTGTTACATTTTATATATGCCATCTTAGTTTTAGCACTTTGTTTCGTTATTGTATACCAAACGGTTTTACGAAACCGTATAGAAATAAATAAATTCTCTTTGCAGATCATTTAGTAGAGTAATCAATAATCCACCTAACTACTCGAAAGAATTCCAATTTTTCGGTCCGATTAAAAAGACTTATTTTGTTTTTTATTCAGTTCAGTTGTGCTCTTCACTGTAGATATTTGTAACACTAGGTACATATGTAGTGTACTCCTTCTGTTCGAAAATAAAAGTCCCATTTGAAAAGTTTTTTTTTTATTTATTAGAAAATTCTTTTTATTTAGTAGAAAAATAGAAAGAACGGATCAAGTCTTTTTTGATGAACATATGCTTATTATTGTTTGAAACGTCAAACAAATGTCAAAAATGACAAATTTTAAACAAATCAATTTAGATGCTAAACCAGCAGTTCATAACATAGAGTGAGTGTTACTTATAATAAGTAGTAAAATTGCATTTCCCCTTTGAAATGTAAAGTATAAAACAAGTACAGAAATTAATAACTGTACTATACGTACGAAAAATTTGAGCTGCGAAAAAGATGGAAACGTCCAAGTTTTACTTCAACAATTGAGAAAAACTAAATTTATTGTTAATCATGGTGCAATTAAATTAGTTGCCAAAGCATTTAAAGTAAACAGAAAATCAGATTCAAGAATTTGGAAAGCCACGAAACGACAACTTAATACAGAGAAATCAGTAATTAAAAATCTACCCAAAAAGAAGAGTAAATGTGGGCCCAAGAAAAAGGACAATTCTTAAAACTTAGATATCAAAAAAGTTCCATGTAATCCTAGAGGAACGATTCGAAGTCTTGCCTGTGCAATTAAAGTTCTCAAATCAACTTTACATGATCGTTTAAAACAGGGAATGAGTTTGAAACGCATCTCGTTTACTGTCAATCCGTAACTAACAAGCAAATAAATTGGCACGAACAAACTATTTTTTGTGTTACGTTCAGCCAAACGGGTATTTTGACGACATGTACGATATGATGAACAATGAAAAATGATTTTCAATATTTTTCAATCCCTAACAATGATCTTAGTCTCGAATAACGCTGTTAAATTAAAATCAGACTCCTATTTTCGGACGAACTTTGTGTGGAATGGGACTCTTATATTCGGACAAAAGGAATATGTATTTTTTGTCGGGCTCGCCTCGCTATATTTATGGCCGACTCTGATCAGAGATTCCATTTTTGTTCTAGTCTGTTCTCGGACCTGAGGAGCCTTGCAGGCACGACCCTTATGAACCTCTTGGCGGCCCTCTTCATGGTACAACTGCTCTTCATCGTTGGAGTGGGCGGAGTTCAAGTAAGTTGAGCTCTACTAAACAATCAGGTATTATTTTTGTGACTTGTTCGTCGAATCTTCTCTCGGAATATAAATCTGCTGGGATTCCTGGAAACTGTCGCGGTTTTTGTCGGTAGTCGGTGCACGTCTGGCTAATTAGCGCACATTCACCGGCTTTTAAGATAAAAAATTAGAGGGACGGATTATCGGACCGCATTAACGAAGCTTTTTTCCACGAGATGAGGGTTTGCGTGGTAGATTCGGTGTAACCTCGGCGGGGAAATTCGAAACGGTGACTGCTGGCGAGTGCGGCGGAGTGGAATCATCGCGGCGATAGCCGAACAATAGCCGGGGAGAATTCTGTTCTGACGCGCGTGCGGCTCCTCTCGGTTGCCGTGGTGAAAACGCCAGCGCAAAGGACAAGCGGTTTCTGCCAGAAACAACTGCTCTCGAGCCCTCTTCCTCCCACCATTCCCGCCAGAAAAAACATACCCGCGTCATTAGAGGAGTCGTACGTGTGAAGGGGTTGCCTGGGTTTTAACAGCGCCTCTTCTCTCTTTTCTCAATCTTCGCGTTTTCTCCGCAATTACCCCACGGTTGACCTACGTTCCTTCCTTTCAACTCTCAAATTTTTTATCTTCTCAGAGAAGTAGCGTTAGAAACATCTGCTCGCGATATCCGATGCAATAAATTCTCTTAATCTGAGGAAACAACGAACCCAGATACAGATTAAAATGATAAAAAAAGACAGATCGTTGGAACTTTTTCATGTGAAATATTGTTAGACGCGAGAGATCACAATTTTTGTGTGTGTGGAAAACAGCTGACTGCTTTGGGATAGCGATACGTACTGAAATTCTGAGGAAACAACCGTAACAGGCACAGATTAAAATAATGAAAAAAAAAAAAATAGTTTGTTCGAACGTTTTGACAGGGAATATTGTTAGACACGAGAGTTCACATCAATGTGGAAAACAACTGACTGTTTCGAGTGGCAATACGTGTTGAAATTCTGAAGAAATAACTATAACAGGTATAGATTAAACTGATAAAGAAATATAGATATTCGTTGGATTTTTTTTCAATGAGATATTTTTAAACGCGAGAGATCACATAAATGTAGATTAGATACAGCTGGCTGTTCCCAATAGCAATACATACTGAAATTCTCAGCAAACAATAAAAAAATAAAAAAAATAATAAAAACAATAAAAAAAATAAATGTAGTTTGTTGGAACTTTTTGATATTGACATATTGCTAGATGTGAGATTATGATTTTGGTATGTGGAAAACATGGCTGTTTCAAACAATAATGCGTACTGAGATTCTCAGGAAACAACCATACCAGGCACAGATTAAATAACAAAGAAAATAAATACAATTTGTTGGAACTTTTTGATATGACATATTGCTAGACATGAGATCATAATTTTGGTATGTGGGAAAGCTGGCTGTTTTAAACAATAATGCCTACTGAGATTCTCAGAAATTAGCCATACCAGGCGCAGATTAAATAATAAAAAAAATAAATGTAGTTTGTTGGAACTTTTCGATATGATATACTGCTAGATATGAGATTACGATTTTGGTATGTGGAGAACAGCTGGCTGTTTCTAATTGCGATACGTGATGAAATTCCTAGGAACAAACCATAGCAAGTGTAGATTAAAAAAATAAAAAAAGAGGAAGATAGATTGTTGGAAGTTTTTGATATGACATACTGTTAGACGTGAGATCACGATTTTGGTATGTGGAAAATATCTGGCTGTTTCTAATTGCGACAACACTGAAATTCTAAGGAAACAGTCGTACCAATTATAGATTGAAATAATAAAATAAATAAAGATAGTTTGTTAGAGCTTTTTGGTATGAAATATTGTTACACACGAGAGTTCACATCAAAGTGAAAACAGCTGACTGTTTCGAATAGCAATACGTACCGAAATTCTGAGGAATGCAACCATAGCAGATGTAGGTTAAAATAATAAAAAAAATAAAGATAGTTTGTTGGAGTTTATTGACATGAAATATTGTTACACGTGAGAAATAATGATTTCTATATGTGGTTGTTTCTATTAGTGATACATTCTGAAATTTTTAGAAAACAATCATATCAAGCACAGTTAAGTCCATAAATATTTGTACACATTTAAAAACTGAACAACGAATTAATTTTTTTAAGGCATTAGGGATATAAGTTTACTATATAACGCATAATAGAAAATTAAAAATAATTGCTGTAGGTCGAATTTACCAAAAAAAAGTAAAGGG